GCCCCTCCCCGCCTTCTCTCGTTTCAGTTTTGGCGGGGGCAGCGCCGGCTGCGGAGGGAAAGGCTTCGCTCTCCGCGCTCCCGATGCGTATGGAGGAATCCTCGTGAAAACAGCGTCCGATGTTTCCCACCCCCCCCCAAAAAAAATCCAAACCCAAACAAACCACCTACTTGGATAATTAAAACGGTAAATCTAGCTAACTTTTCATTATCTTGCTTGCTGTGTGCTTATGTATGTAGATATTTGTTATTTATCTGGCTTCATTTCGTCATCCTTTGGTTTTTGTTAATTATCTGATCTTGTACTGCCGGAGAACTTGAAATATTGGGGTTCAGAACAGAGGAGGACTGTTGTGCTTTTTCCTAAAGTTGGACTGAAGAAGGAAAACGTTCCTAGCTCATACTAGCCTTGTGAGTATGTTTACTTGCTTTACCAACCTGAACATAGATGATATTTCCTGCGGCAGCATCCTCTTGAGTTTGCTTTTCCTTTAATTTTTGCCACAGCAAAGATGTGTGTATGCTACACACATGAAGTCCTGTAGGCTGACAGGTTTTATATGCTGGCATTCACGGCTGAGATTCCGACTAGGCTTTGAATGTCTTTAGTTTGTGATGTTAACAAGTGAACTGTCTTCTGTTTTCATCCTGTTTCAACTTGTGGATTCTGCCAAGAGATCATCTGAACCAAGTAGTGTTTCTTAGCTCTTTAATTATTTGGTTGCCTTTTCAGAGATAGGAGCGTGCTCTCATTTGTACAGGTCACACAATTTGTACAGCTTCATAATCCAGAGGGCTTTTTTTTGAGAGGATATTCATTTTATACAGTCCCTGTGTTGGTTGGATGCTTTATGAGACTGGGCAACCCCAGGCTTTCTGCACATTATGAAAACCAACTTTAGGAAATGAAATGTCTTTGTTAGGTATTATAATTCCATAGATGCTCATGCTTGCTACTATAAACTGTTCTTCTTTTTGGACTATTAATCCAGCAGATATTAACTGAGGAAAATTAAAATTGAGAGGTTAGTTTAAAAAAAATATCAATGTATACATGGAGAAAAGAGTGTCTTACTCTCATCAAACAAGAGAAAATGAGAGCATCAGTTGCATAGTTGATAAAAATTACTGACCTGAACTTTGCTGTAAAATATGGGCTAAACTTCCAAGTCTGACTTGGGAAAAACTTAGCTCAGGGTAGAATCTGTTGCTCTTTATTGATCTTGTTTCTTTCCTTTCTGAGAAGTCAATCACACATTAATCTGCCTACCCATACATGCATGAGCATATTCACCTTCACAGGCAAACACCTGATACTGTCCAAGTGCAGGACTTGAGAGTTGAGGTTTTGAGCCACAGAGGACTACAAACAATGCAGGGGAAAGGAAAAAGGAAGGAGGGATTTAAAATATTTGCTATTTGGCACATATTTTAGGGACCTTGCCTTGGAAATGACTCCCAGTAGTCAAAGAAGAGAGGCAGGACCTCACATGGACTTGGCACAGTTTCTGCTCTGAGCTGCTGCCTGCTGTGATTACATCTGTATTTAAATTAATCTTTTAAAAACTTGTGTTCATCCATCATTTATCTTGTTAGCATTAAAATGGGATAAAACATGCATTTGCTGGTTCATTTGGTCTGCTAAATTCTAAGATCTGTTGACCCAAGAGACAAGTACTTTGCTTAGGGGCTGAAAAAATTATTTTTGTTTATGATCATACAAACTGCTGATGCTGCACGCTTCACTTCTTGCAGTGTTGCATGAAACAAGAATACAGAATTAAGAGTCATTTTTTTCTCAGCTATAGGACTTCAAGGGGTTAAGTGACTGGTCAGCAGCAGTGCTCAGAGCATTAGTAACTCTAAGGATTATTACTTTCTGAACACTTGGAAAGGTACAGGTTGCTTTAAGGTACTATAAGTAAACTGCTCTTGGTACCTCAGCCTCTTCACAGTTACCATTCACACCTTCTCTCTTTGGTGGAATTTCTGCAAAGTTGAGATTTCCACCAAGCCTCTCATAAATAGCTGTGAGTTTCTTCTTTTTGATTGTGGAGACTGAAGCACCTGGAATGTTAAAGGAGAGAAAAAGGTTATCAGCTCCAAGCTATTGCAAAAAGTTAATACAATATCTAAAACAGGATTTCTGACTTAGCTAAAAGTCTGCTTTTTTAAGAGGAGATTAATCAAGCCTTTGTTTTGAATATTATTATTATTATTATTATTATTATTATTATTATTATTAGTAGTAGTAGTAGTATTACTCCCAGAAGTTTTGGACTCTACAGCTGTCACTGCCCTCAGTGAAACCTGCAAATAAGCAAGTTTCTTTGTATGCTTCCTCCTCCTTCGTTCCCTGAGAGCTCCAAATTGCCTTTTTTTTCATCCAGGCTGACAGAATTCAGTCAGGCAGGAGGCACCCACTGCATGCAGAATCTGACTCCTCAGCACTGAGATTCCTCGTGAGCTGGGGGTACAGGACATCTCTCATGTCATTTTGTACTAATTCCACATCTGAGGGTGACATACTACTATTCTAGTGTTTGAGAGAGCATAAGTGATTAAAATTCAGATCTTTTTAATGACGTACTGATGCACAGCTATTAAAAGAGACAACTGAATTTATTTGATCTGAAAGAATAACACCTTTTTGCCCCAATTTTCTCTAAGGTATTTGCTAGGAAAAAGCTTTATATGCTGCCAGTTTCAGTGTTTGGCCCTGCTATTAACCCCTCACCCAGAAACAGGGTAAAAAAGATACAGCTTCAAAATGCATGAAAAACTGACTTTAAGACAGCTTTAGCAGTTGAAATCAGTTTTTATACCTTTGTCTTTTAAATGACTAATCTCTATCTGTGGGTGTCCATTTAACCTGTGATATAACTTTAGAAACTGCTGGAGGCAATTTGTACTATAGGATCTGAAGTGATTAACATTGGGTACACATATGCATAAAGCATTTCAGTATTTGATGGGTTGCATCTCTTCATCTCTTGGCTTTGAATGCCTTTCTCTTTTTTTTTGATGTCACATTCTCATCTGCAGGGCAATTTATAAGCACAAGCAAAGGTTACAGACTCCCTAATTCAAGCTTCAACTGTTATGGCATTTTTATACAAATGCTCATTTTCTTTGTCATACCATTTAGCAAAAAGGATCAATGTGCTCCATTATCCTGCAACTATTGCGTGAAAAAAGTGGTTCTATCAAAATTGTGTCCCTGGTTGTATTTTTTTTTTGTAAACTAATTATATATGTCAGACATAATGTTGCCCTCTGCTATTACATTCTGTTTCCAAATGTAATAAAGTTGGAGAAGTTTCAATGCATGAAAAAAAACAAAATATTTTTTCCATGGACATTTGATGTCCATGGCTGGAGATTTGCTCCTGGCAGAGGAACAAGTCCTTCTGCTTGTACAATTCACATTTTAATTAAAACCAGGGCACATTTTAGAAAATATTGGGAATGTATATTATATCTATTGTAGTTAAAGTGTTATTTTCTTGATGATTCATGTTATAAATTAATGCTGGAGTAAGAGGATGGAATTGGAGGTCATTTCCTCCACATTCTCCTCAGGACCTTGGTTCTGCACTGGAGGAAGAAAAGCACATGGGAGTACAGTGAAATATGCAGACCTAGACATCCTAAGAATCGACTAAACACTTTTGAGTTTGCCTTGCCTGCAGTAGGAGTGTGTCACATGGTAATTTGGGAAGCTTGCTTGGAAATGGAAGAGTTATGAAACTGGGTTTGCCTCCTACAGGTGCACATCCCTGTTGTGTGCATTTGCAGGTTTGCCACAGGGGAGAGGGCAAAAGCCCAAAATCAAAAGCAGGATGGCTAATTTTAAACTGCCTTGCTCTGCCATGAAGCATCAGCTGCTCAGCACTACAAAAAGTCTAACCTAAGGACTCCCACATCACTGGCTCCTCTGCAAAATGGGAGGATTGGAAAAGCTCTATCAGTATATGAGAAAAATAACCTTGTTGACTCTAAGTATTGTTTCTTCTTGTCAAAATGCAAGATGAGCTTTGAAAATTTTGAGTGGCAAGCACCCCCAAATTTAAGACAAGGCTTATCAAAGTGAAAAAATGGCTGCCTAATTTTTTTTCTCTTTTGTTCCTAGAATCTTGTGCCTAATTCATCGTATTTTGTAAGAAACCGTTACTCCACTATTTTAAATGGCAGTGTTACCTTTTCAGGCTTTGACTGAACTGAATTTGTGTTGATTGTGGAAAATAGAATGGTTTGATGGTGAAAACATCTAAAGAGAATCGGCCAGTCAGCTGGCTCATGCACAAACACAGCAGTTATGCCCCAAGTGCCTAACTGTTAAAAGGTCATTCTCTGCCACAGGGAATACTGGACTGCAGAGTGACAATGCTGCTATTGAGCTGTGAGGTGCAAAGAGGGTCCAAGGTGATTTAGCTGCCTACTTGCAAATATAGGTAGGTGTCTGTGCTTACATATGTACACAAACACACAGAACAGCTCCATGGTGCCAATACAAAACCCATGTGAATGAACAAAAAGTTGTGGTGAAATGTGAAGCAACATTGGGATGTTGACCTGCTGGAGAAATAGGAAAGCAAAGCAGAAATGAAAACTAGGAATCACAGAAATATCTGATCCAGTACGTAGATTTTTGACATGAGTGAGAAGGGTTGGAACTAGCTACCTCACCCAGAAATATTTATGCAGTAATGAGAGGGGATTATAATTTGATGGAATTCTGCCAAAGGGTACTTTGTACCTATTGAAGTGTGGTTTCATTTGGCAGCTTCTCCTGACTTGAGGAGAACTTCCAAACTCTGCTGCTGTAAGTCACAGTCAAAAATATGATGTTGTTAGAACACTTTGACCTTCAAAATAGAGTTTGAGAGTATTAAATTACTGTACCTGTAACACAGTCGTGTCTGCAATAACAATTACAGGCAAAACGACAAGAGTCAGCATCCCCTTTCCCCTTCTTCACAGCAGTGGAAATAAAAGTTCATTTTAGTCAAGTTGTATTCCTTTTCCTTTCTTCCTAGAGCTGTCTGTAGTTGGTTCCTGCAGCAGCTGATGAGCAGAGCAGGACAGTTGGCTTGGGTCTTCTCATGGACTGGAATGCCAAATGTTCCTGCGTATTGTTCCCTCCCTCTGACAGGGGACATGCTGTTCAGTGAATCACCTTTATGG